AAAAAAAAAAAGGTGAAGAAATCAGAAGTTTGTAAATAAATTAACATTTGGTTAATAGGGGTCCTTACCAAGTCATTTGAATATCCCAGTGGTCTTATGCAATATTTTTCTGCTCATTTTATTTACAAGGACAATGATGCTTGAAGAGATTAAGTAAATAACCCAAATTGAAGCAGGGTGCAGATCAGAAATTCAAACCCTGGTTGGCCTCTCTAAAACTGCCCCCTCCTACCCAGTAGCAAACAAGTGTTTTATCGTCATCAACGTAACCCGACTACAACTGAACTCCTCTGCATCCCAGTTTCGGTACTGCGACCTACCAAGTGTGAGACCTACACGAGGGGTGTAATCTTTGTCAGCCTCTGTTTCTATATCTGTAGAAAGTGCTGGGTTAGGATGATGGGCAGTAGAGAGGTAACTAAAATTCCTTCCCAATCTTTAGAGCACACATTTAAACATAAGCCACACCTTAACCAGAGAGATGCAGGCAGGTTCAGATACTGACAGCATGGCCACTGTCAATATGTGCACATTTCTCATCCGGTAAGCAACGTAATAGAATGTGATCACGGATCCAACCCCCGACTTTGGGTTTGACTCAAGGACTAGGCCCTTCAGACCCACAACCTTCTTCTGTGCTGCCTGTGAAAGCCCTGCTTATCTTTTTCTCGAAGAAGCACTGTGCACTGAAGGGGAACGACACACCAGGGAAGAAGATTTCTCTTTTCTGACCTCTTGCCTGGCCGTGCGACAACAGAAGCAACAGCATGTGCACTTGAAGGGTCTCTGCATCGTCATGACTTCTCTGCCCATGCAATCAGTGACCCGGAGGATGAAGGGTCTCAGTGTCCGGTAGGCATTCCTGGTGAAGTCATCCGTATCTTCATTTACAATGTACACCATTTGGCCCAAGTTGTTTTTAACGTCATATCTATTATTAGTTTCGAAATGTGTCATCACTAAAAAAAAGAAAACAGGAGAGCCCTTTCAAATGAGAAGCTATTAAAATCTCCAAGTAGTCTCTGTATAGCATTTCTGTAGGGCTTAAAACAGAATAGCTTTAAAAAATTTTTCTAGTGGAATATATACATGTGATTAACACAAGGAAATTATTCACAAGTCATCTAAAGTACTTAAATAGCTTTGAAACTTTAAGACATTTCAGAGGCTCCATTTAAAACACTTTTTAAAATGTTTTACAAAAAACACACAAAAAGGTGGAGAATATGTTCTAGAGTGTCTGGATTCATTAAACGTTAATTATAAGAATATTTGGATGGAATGTTTGAATAAAGTAGTTTTCAAAAATTATGCTCAAAAAATAAACTCAGAGAACCAGAGTCACTAATTGTTGCAAACAGAAAAAAGAACCAAGAAAAAGTTGAAATAACAACAATAATATATAATTGACCACGGACTCACAGGGAGTGGGGGTGTGTGTGTGAAAGAGGCTGATTCCAAGGGCTCAAGTAGGAAGAGAAAATGTTTCGGAAATGTTGATTTCAACATATGTACAAGTGTGCTTAACACAACTGAATGATGGATTGTCATAAGATCTGTAAAAGCCCCCCACCCCCAAATAAAATAATTAAAAGAAAAGGCCTGGTGTGATGCCCAAACTGATCTGTAGAGCTGGTGCAACATAAGCTGGCTTTCTGTTCAGATGAACAAACAGAGGCTTTCTGTTTCTGGGCCCCATTTCTTTTAACGTCTATAAAAAGGGCCCTGGATAGCATTCAGTTTTAATGGAGTTCCAGCTCAGCACTAACAGCTTACTTGGTATCTCCACTACTCCATTGAGCTTCCTGACCCCTCCTTATCTATGCAAAGGGACTGCAGACAAAGGGTGATGTGAAGGAACGGGCAGGCATGTGGTACAGATAACAAACGAGGTCTTTGTCATCTCTAAAAAACAAAAACCAACCTATAATTATATAGTATGTACACAAACAAGATTATATGAAACCATATTCTTTATTACTTCCTTGAAGACAAGATGATAGAAGGCTGTCTTTTCTCTTGCACCACTAAAAATAATCAATATAAAAAGATGTTTGCTAGTGCAAATTTCCACCCATTTGAAATACTGCTGAAATTATATAAAATTATACATACATTCCAAAGGCTCCAAATGTTGAAGAACCTGTAGGCTGTCCAACTGTGGAGATAGAACAAAGTAGTTAGGAGAAAGCAAAGTAATAAAATGAAATGAAATTTGTATTAGAAAATGCACTGAAGAACTAGGTGCTAAAACAAATCCATTGATACTAAGCGATGAAATCAATAGTTTAACAAGTGGAGTTAGCGATCTGTAACTAATCGGATGGTTATTAGCACAGATGCCCAGCTAAGAAAAAACATTTTTCTTCACTTCTTTTGGAAAGAACTCAACCAGTTGTCTAAATGAGAAAACTGCCTACTTGCTTTCTTAAGAACACCTATAAAAGGCGGGTTATATAGACCGGTTTCAGCTTTCCCAACTCCCAGTCTTAATAACTGGAGAGGCGGCATCCATAAACTAGAGTTGTTCCACAGGCCGGATTGTTCAGGAGAATTTCACACAGATCATTCAAAGAGAAAGCAGTTTTCTCAGTGGATTAGGGAGAGCAAATTAGCTAGGAGTCTGTCACACAGGTGTGGCCTGTTGTATATTCCTCCATTCATATCTCTGAGAGAAAGTAATGCACTGACTTCCATTCACTAGGGCTGCTAATTCCAGGGCCTTCCCCAGGTATACATTTTAATTCAGAGAGAGGGAGACCCCAGGAAAGCAGAAAGCATCTGAATGGGATTAGAAGGAGAAGAAAATTTCTGAGAGAGGACACCATGAGAAGGGAGATTGGGAACACCATTAGACAGACTGAAATCCTCTTGACCCTCCACTACTAAAATGGATGGCTTGATCAATTTTCTTTCTTCAACTTGCCCAATTAGAAACTATAGCTGAGACAGATCTTTGCAGAATTAGTGGATCCTTGGCAAAACAAAAGCTGTAATAATATTCTCACACTATTTGGCCTCTAAAGCATCCTGATGAGGATCCATGTAAGACATAGGACAGAAAGAAAATGATGCTCTATCGTTCATTACAATCCAAGAAAGCATTTCAAAAAATCGCACCCACACCCCCTGGGGCGTGTCCTAAATAAGAAGCACTTTACAAGTGCTATCTCATTAACAAGTCTCACAACAATCTAATAAGGCAGGCGTTGATGGCATTATGTGATAAATGTAGCTTTGGATTCTAAGATTCTAAGAGAGTTAGTCAAGTTGCAGAGTTAGCAGAAGATTAACATTAACATTGGGTGTACATGGTTTTAAACTTGTGTTTTCTATGTTTATTTTTTGTTGCCTTTTTTAAAGCTCTAAACATCCCAGAAAATATATTTATTTGACCTATCAATAATAGAAGAAGTTGAGCAACTATTTTAAATTAAATCTGTACAATTTTAAAAGAGAGGAAACTGACTTTAGAATATCCTGGCTTGCAAGGGCAGTTTCTGTACTTATTGTCAGGTAATCTCCTTTGTTGGCACAAACCGTTTGTGATCAATTACTGAAATAAAGATGGACAGCTCAGCACCCCCGGCCTCAGTCCCAAGTGGTGATCTGCTTCTGTAAGATTTTGGCCTGACAACCCTACGGAGAAGTCCTGCTCTGCAGGCCAGAGGCTGCTGTGGGTTGGGATCAGGTTTATTGTCAAGGCTTAAAACAACAAACATTATAAATTAACTATAAACATAAAATTCATAAGTATCATAATTTACTCTAGCATTTAAATGCCAGGCTTTGTTTTCGCTGATATTTTGCAAAAACAACTTTATGTAAAATCTAAATTTTCTTTAGCCAATTGAATGGCTTTTACAAAAAAAACCCACTGTAACACCTACAGTTTTCAATGCACAAGATTAAGAAGGAACTCACCAATACATGAAACTGGAAAGAGAAGCTTGTCAGTGCTAAAGAATCGTTAACAATAGAATACCTGATCAAATGAGATTGGGACTTTATTGGGAAAAGTATATTTAACACCCTCTTTCCCGGAAAAATCTAGAAACTTCTGAGTACCATAGTTTTAAATACTAATTTCACTTTATCTCCATTAAAGTAATTCTTGTATTTGACCTATATTGTTAAACCGATTTGCTACATCAACTCTAGATTGCAGTCTAGGACTTGATCTGGGAGTCCTGGTAGCTCTAGAATATCTACACAGATTTGTGGGAGGGCGTTTCTGGGATAGACTTCAAAAGCAATCACCTCACCAGGTCCCCCACTTTTACATAGTGTATGTTATTCAGAGTGGTGGGCGTGGCTGATGAAACTTATGGGGGATAAGGAAAACCAATGATTTAAGGCACTTGAAGAACCCTGGTGGTGTAATCCTTGAGAGTTGGGCTGCGATCCGCATGGTTGGCAGTTCAAAACCACCAGCAACTTCATAGGAGAAAGGCTGGGCTTTCTCCTCACACAAACAGGTACAGTCTCAGAATCCCAGGGGTCGCTATGAGTCAGCATTGACTTGATGGCAGCGAGTTTGCTGTTTTGGTTTAAGGCACTCGAGTATCTTCCACTCTCTACAGTCCTGTACCCTTTCTTTATTTTTGTTCTCCATCTTCTAAACAAATGACACTCCAACTAACATAGCTTTCTTTGATCATTATTCCTATTCTTTTTAAACTCATCTACCTGTCATCCTTAATAGCTTAAAACTCACCACCCATTCTTTATACAAACCGACTCTTCCCCTGGAAAACATGCCTGCATTCTCTATATGCCCCTGACGTTTCTGAACTTCGCATTGCCACTCTTAACAGTCTCATAAATTAGGCCTCTGGCACCATTCACCCATCTCCTCTATCCACTCTATTCAGCCACTCCTCTTTTCGTGTTACATCCCAACGCTAGGCTGCACATGAAAATAACACAGGTTTTGATGGGCTACCTGAGCTAAATATTCCAGTCCAGGTGGGCAGTTTGTCATAGGAGTTGGCCCTGGCATCCATGATATTGGAGTAGTCTGATGCGACATAGGATATTTGCCAGGCTGATACTGAGTAATCTGAGTACCACCAGTTGGCTGATACAAAGGGAAGGCATTGGGCTGCGGCTGACTATAGTATGCCATCGGCAAGCCTCCTGGATTCCCTGCAGGTGGACAGACAACTGGTCCAGGGGGCCCTGTGTGTAAAAACAAATGAGATCATTATATATTATATATTATTAAGATGCTAACATATGAAACATAGAATGGCTTTTTAAACAAAGATGATCTGGCTTACAGGGCATGTTCTCAAAAAATAACAAGAGGTTCATTTTCCAAAATGTGTCATGCATTAAGGTAATTTACCAATTGCTAACTTATTTAATACTCTTAAAATTTATGACATAATTATCTCCATTTCAGAGGTGTAAAAATAGGTGTGAAGCAT